ATGGTAAGGGGAATAAGACTCTACCTCTCAATGGGAGAACAAAGAATGTGTGGCTGGAAGGGACCCCAGAGATAAAATCTGGTTCCACTTTACAAATGAGGAAATTTAGGACTACAGTTCAAGGTCAGAAACTGATCAGTGACAGAGCCACAGCCTGGATTTCCTGTTGCAGTGCCTGAAGAGAGGCAATCCTGATTTGTCTGTGAAATGGACATCAGGCTCACCTGATTCTGCCCTTAGAAACTGTCCATTTACCTTGATTCAGCCTCCTATTTCATTATGAAGCAATTGAAAAGAAACTATTCGTTCCAAATACAACTGTTTAATCTTATATATAAAAATATATATAGAACACATTTTCTCGTCCATATTCAACAAATGTTTACTGAGTACCTACCAGGTCCCAGCACTGTCCAAGTACTGGCCTCCTCAGCTGAACAAATACTGACCTGCATACAGACAGGGCTGCCTTCAAGAGGCTTTCCTTCTAGATAGAAAGTCAGAATAAAAATTTTGTGATCAATAGTCACTTTTCCCTGGGTCACTTATTCGATCATGCTCTTTTATTTTTAAGTGTTTCTACAACATGGTTCCCCCTCTTCCTTTCATTTACAGAACAGACCGGGGGCCAAGGATTCTTCCCTTAGAAACAGCCCATGTGTTTTAAGGATTCCGAGATTTTCTCCTACTCAGAGCACCGATTTGGAGTGGGTGTGAGTAAAACTACAGACCAATGCAATGCTAGTTGTTACTGTTCCTTTTGTTTCAAGAGGCATTTGCTCATTAGGTGGGGTGACGGATAGCTTTGACTTCATCTGAAAGTTCCACGGGGACTCTAGGGGACGGCCCTAAGTACAGTCGCGGTGGTTTGGATTTCCTGTTTATATGGTACCCGGTCACCATTAGCTTTTGTCTTCTGCAGCTAATTTATCTTCCTCCTGGACCAGCCTGGAGAGGGGGTGGGGGGTGTGGACAGGACCCGCCTGCTGACGGTGACAACTCCTTCGACATCACGTCCACGCCAGTCCCCGCTCCTAGAGCTGGGCGGGGAACTCTCTTCCCGGTCAGCGGAGAGGAGCCCCCGGTGGCCCCGGGCCCCGCGGCGGTGGGGTGGGGTAGGTGGCAGCAGACTCTGGTCCGCTCCAGGAAGCGCCGGAGGCCGAGCGCAGGCAGGCCGGCGGGGGACGTGGGAGTGCGGCGCGCCCCCGGGGGCCGGGGAGGAGAAGGAACCAGATGGGCGGGCCCGAGCGTGTGCGGCGGCGGTCCCGGGGCCGCCGGCTCCTCCCCGCCCGCGTGCCTGTCTGCCGCT